TTGCAAATGCTTTCCACAAGAAAGCATTCTATTTGTTTTTTGGCTCTAAAGAAATTGTAACCATTTTTTACTTACACTCCAGTAAATGAAGAGGGAGATATCTCTGTAATCATGCCACAGTAGGACAATGTGCTCACCATACGTTTAAAGTCTCATTGTGAGATGCAATTCATTATGAGATATAGTAATTTTTAATTTCTTCTTTAGAAGGCAGGGCTAAATTTTAATTTAGAAGGTATGTCTATAAAAAAATTCTAGAATATCTTTAGTAACCAATTAAGGAAGATTTTTGTCTTAAGAGTTTGTGTGTTTGATGTGAGTTGCTTATAAATGTTTAAATTATTTTTCTTATTCTAGTTTTTAGTTACCCATACTGTATTAATGTTACTTTGTGTGGGGAAAAAATTTTCAGTAATTGTTGCCTTTGTTCCCCCTTTTGTTGTCTAGTATAATTTTGTAAATGTTTACTTGTCTGAGTAGCCACAATCTAGCAAACATTACCTTAGTTAATGTAAATGATTATAGGTACCTTGAATCATTGTTGACTAAAGAAACTGTTCAAACAGGATATTATTTTACTGGTTATTTTTCTAAAAGAGAAACTCTTGGGATAAAATTGAGATTAAAAAGAGGCTGTGTGTGTTTTGGGGGTGTGAAAAAGGTAGGGATGTGAGGAAATTTGTAGAAAGTGGGCTTGTATGATTGTAACATGAGGGAGTAGACATTTCAGTCATCCTAAACCCCAACAAAGCTTTGAACTTGTGGGTACTTCCATGATGAAGTACAGTGAAATCTCTAACATTGAAAATAACAATATAAACTGTCAATGCAAATTACTTTTTCAACACATATCTTTACCCACCAAATTTTTTAATGGAAGGTTTTGACAATCTAAGTAGTAATGTTTTAAGCACCACTTGGGACAGAAATTTTACCCTCATTCACCTCTTGTCCACCTTAGAGAACGACAAAGACTGGAGATGTTTTTATAGAGCAGAGACTCGTGGCAAGAAGAACTGATATGTGATGTGTACTGACTCTATGCCAGCCACTGTTACCAGCATTTCTAATAAAACCCATTTAATCTTTACAACTACCCTATGAGGTAGAGATTAGTATACTCATTTTTTATATTTAAAGGGATGTGTATAAATTTTAATAAATAATATTAAGTCAATACTTAAAAATAGATTTACATTATTATAGATGATGGAATAACATAAAGAACACGTAAGGTTTAGCCAACCAAATACACCAGGGCTGAGCTGAGATACGAATGACGGCAGATTGTCATCACAGTATATTCCTTCAACTACTGCATTATATTGCCCTAGAGTCTAGTACCTGGGTTCCCAAAGAAGTGAAGGCTGATTGAACTAGAAGATTTGATACAGGCACCTTCTCTATTTTATTTTTACTTATTTATTTATTTAAATATATTTTATTGATTATGCCATTACAGTTGTTCTATTTTCCCCCTTCATTCTCCTTGACCCTGCATACCCCTCCCCCACCATTTCCCTCCCTTTAGTTTATGTCCACGTGTCTCAAGTTCTTTAGATTCTATATTTTCCCTACTATTCTTGCCCTCCCCCCTATTTATTTTCTACCTGCCATCTATGCTACTTACTTTCTGTACCTTCTCCCCCCTTCTCCTTCTCCCACTCCCCTGTTGCTAACCCTCCATGTGATCTTCATTTCTATGGTTCTGCTCTTGATCTAGCTGTCCTCTTAGTTTGCTTTTGTTTTAGGTGTGGCTCTTAATAACTGAGTTTGCTGTCCTTTCACTGTTCATCTTTTTTATCTTCTTTTTCTGAGATAAGTCCCTTTAACATTTCATATAATAAGGACTTGGTGATGATGAACTCCTTGAACTTGATCTTATCTGAGAAGCACATTATCTGTCCTTTCATTCTAAATGAAAGCTTTGCTGGATAGAGCAATCTTGGATGTAGGTCTTTGGTTTTCATGAGTTGGAATACTTCTTTCCAGCTCCTTCTTGCCTGTAAGGTCTCTTTTGAGAAATCAGCTGACAGTCTGATGGGAACTCCTTTGTAGGTGACTGTCCCCTTACCTCTTGCTGCTTCTAGGATTCTGTCCTTCATTTCAATCTTGGCTAATGTAATTATGATGTGGCTTGGCGTGTTCCTTCTTGAGTCCAACTTCTTTGGGACTCTCTGAGCTTCCTGGATTTCCTCAAAGTCTATTTCCTTTGCCAGAATGGAGAAGTTCTCCTTTTATTATTTGTTCAAATAAGTTTTCCACTGGTGGCTGTTCCTCTTCCCCTTCTGGTACCCCTATAATTTGGATGTTGGAGTGTTTAAAGGTGTCCTGGAGGTTCCTAAGCCTCTCCTCATTTTTTTGAATTCTTGTTTCTTCATATTTTTCTGTTTGGTAATTTTTTTCTTCCTTCTGGTCCACTCCCTTGATTTGAGTCCCAGTTTCCTTTCCACCACTATTGGTTTCCTGTGCATTTCCCTTCATTTCAATTAGTTTAGCCTTCATATGTTCCTCTAATTTGTGGCTAAAATCGACCAGTTCTGTGAGCATCCTGATCACCAGTGTTTTTAACTGTGCCTCTGATAAGTTGGCAATTTCTTGGTCGCTTAGATTTATTGGCTCTGAGGCTCTGAGTTGTTCTTGAGCCATGTTTTGGTCTGTTCACGCCTGTTATGTATGAGGAGAGGAGCCTTAGTTTTTCACCAGGGCAGGGCCACCCAGGTAGCTGTTTTGTGATGCTGTATGTGGGGCGAGGTCAGAAAGGGAGCAATAGTGGTCCCCTCTGCTGCTTCCTGCCGCTGGGGCCTGATTGGTCTGTCTCACTGCTCACTCCTTTGCTGGTTTATCTGCAAGCAAACGTGTGACCTCAGTCAGCCTGCCACCTTGCACTGGGGCCTGCGTGGTCTGTCTCAATGCTTGCTCCTTTGCTGGTTTATCTGCATGCAAATGTGTGACAGCGGTCAGCCAGCTGCACACCCCTTCCCTGGGTCCGCCCATTGCTACCCCACACCTGGGATTTGCCCTTGGCTGCCTGGGTCAGGGGATCTTTTTTGCCCAACCCACTCCACTGCTGGCTCTGCCCCTCTTACCATTCTAGCTGAGTGGTTCGTTGTTGGACTCTGTATTGTTCATTTATCTGTGATTTGGCTGTGTTTATTGTTGCTAAAACTTTGTTGTTTTTAGATTTGGTTGGTTGAGAAGGCAAAGTGTTTCCACCTATGCCTCCATCTTGGTGGAAGTCCTCACCTTCTCTATTTTAGAGGCAGCATGATGTTATAGGTGGGCACTGTACCAAGTTTAAGAATTTCATATCAAAGTTTCTGATGTAACTTTCATAAATTGTGTGACTTTGATCAAGTTACTGATCTTTTAGACCATACTTTCTACATTTTCAAAATAGTATAGACAATTCCATTCCTGGAAATCTTTGATTTAGTTAGTTGTAGGAATAAAGTCAGAGAGGTGAAGGGAAGGTAGTGATACCAGGGATGCAAGTATGTGTATAGCTGAAACATCAGGGTGATTCTGGCAAAATACTCTCAATTCATCACGGAGAAACTCTAAGTTCCAGCTGATTTTAACAAGGGTGGAGCTTGTAGGTAACTGGCAGGAATTATCTCAGACCCTTACATCAGATTTCATAAAAATATTCCTATTTCTATTGTAACCTATCAATAGCTCAGCTCCTGTTGTAGAGGTATATCACTTTTATAATGACATGCAATCCATCCATTTCTAGAGCACAGTCAGTTGATCTTCAGTCAAAAGTTATCTAAAAATTAAAAGGCAAAGGTATTTTTAATCACTATTGCATTATCAACACTAGAATTTTAGCAAATGATCATCAAACTACTTTAAATAATTAATGAAATTGTAAAAGGCAATTTTACAAATGAAAAAAAAACATTGGCGATAGGAAACTCAGTTCATTAATATGTGGAAAGTTTAATATTTTCCATATATTTTTATATGTAGGAACACAGATTTAAAAAAATCTGCCAAATATTTTGTGACAGTGGCTGAAATCTTGAACAGATGTGAGTTATTATTAAACTTGGTACTTAAATTTGCATTATAACTTCTCCATATTTTTATGTTGATTCAGGCACACCCTTTGTGGAATTTAAAGCAGACCAGGGTGTTGGGAAATCAAGTTCTTCAGTCCCATCAGTTATGGCTCAGGAAACAGGCTCAAAGAGATTGAATTTTATTCTCCATATTAGCCATATTTTAAAAACAAAGCCCAGAGTAGGTCATCTGCAAGAGATGATACAATAATGACTATATTAATGATGTATAGAAATATTTATGGTAGGCACTTTATTTTAGATGAAGTACCATTGGATAATTTATTTGCTTATAGCAAGCATTTGTTAAATTTCTATTACCTTTGGTAGCAGGCATTGAGAATACAAAACTCAGTCCTTCTCAATTAATTCATAGCATAATATATATTTTAATAGTAAAGTAACTAACTAAATACATCTATTTATTTCTATTTACCTGAGGAGCACTGATAGAAAACCCTGACATTTCAATGTAACCCTAATCCAGAAAGGCAATCATTACAATTCTCATAATACAGATGAAAATCCTGCCTTGGAGAGGTTGTGAGAAACTGCTCATGGCTGCCACACTAGGTCAGCACCAGAGCTGGATGCCAGCGCTGTCCAGCCTGGCACCGGGGCCCTTGCTCTTTCCATGCATCCACAGAGCAGGATTTACTTTGATCACAGCCACACATGATACTCTTTCAGCCACCTGTGACAGCCCAACAGGTTTGTTTTTGAAGGTTCAACCTAGTGATTCCATAGGGAAGTACACTCTCAACTTACAGCAAAGAACTGGAGGAAAGAGATCACCCCAGTGTGAAATGGGATGCACAGAACTTGTTTGCTTGGTTTCTTCCAGCTCAACTGTGTGTGTGGCCACGCTTGTTATGGTGTTTTAAGTGCCTTCATTGGTCTATGATAACTTTTTTTTCTTTCTCTCTCTTTCAGGTATGGAAAAATTGTATCTACAAAGGCAATTCTTGACAAAAACACAAATCAGTGCAAAGGTATGTGTGAGGGCATCTGTACCTTTAGCTCTGGCCTGTGCTGTTCAGTTGCTAGCTCCTCCCAGGTGGAGGTCCAAGCACCGGACACACAGTGATTACAAAGTGCAGTACCTGGCAAACCTCTATGATAATGCCAAGGCTTTCATGACTTGTATTTCTAGTAACATTGCTCATTAATTTTTTTCATTAACAAACAAAATGAAAATCACAAGTTAGAACAAGTACCAAATTGCTTCAACATAAAACTAAATTACCTCTTAACAACTTTGGGTTGTCCAGTTTGAATGAAATTATCAGTGATGCAAATTGATTTCCTATATAAAAATGAGGAACTCTGGGAAAAAAACTTACCCATGCAAAACACATTGTAATTTATCTGTTCTTTAAGCTTTAGCCACAAAGGTTGACTTGGAATGAATTTACTGATGGGCCCACTGTGTATAAGCTTTAGCTGTAAATACCTCACGGGATCTCAAAGTTGGTATCTTGTGAAGGCTTTTTTTTTTAGAGGAGCAGAAATATTTCTGAAGTATTTCACTATGTCTGTGGCTCATGTTTCTTCATGTCTTGGAATCCAATACTCTTTTAAGGGCTGCATTATATTATTTGTGAAATCTATATGGTGTCTCTTACATGACTCAGTCCTTACTGGAAAATTGGAATGCTTCTTGTAGCACGTTATTTGTCGTCCTTGTAATCCACTCTTTTCTACAATACTGACAATAAGAAGTAGGGTGAGCCAGGATCGTTCTAAACACTGCCTCTATTTCATATAGAAATAGAATGTGCACAATTTTTAGGAATAAACACTTATACACTGCCAATCTACCCAAGCCTACTTGGGTAGTGGTAGTCAGATTTAATTCAGCCATTTAAAAAGACACTTCATGTTTCTTATAAACTTATAAATATGCCAAGTATTCAGGTACTACAAGAAAGAAATAAGACATGGTTCCTGTCATCTGAAGGTTCAATTTCTTGTTGAAAAGAATCAAGAAAACCAAGAAACTAACACTAATAAAATGATGAGGATCAGTATGTGAGCCCAATATATGTGAGAGTGTAACAGAGGCATCTATGAGAGAGGTGTCTGCAAAATACTGTGGGTAGAGACTATGGAGACCCCTTTTGGGGGAGTTACATTTATAAAGCCAAAGCACAGTGATAGGCTTGAGAAAGGTTGATGTTTAGGAGAAAGAATTTCAGAATGTGATTGATCAGACCCACACATCTGGAAAAGGAAAGTGTACAGGTAAGGATATTGGTAGAAGAAATGGAAGGGGTCAAGATTTTGGAAGCTTTAAAAAAAGTTATCCTAAATATTTGGAACTTAATTCTGTATGAACAGAATTATGGGGTTCTGTATGAACCCCTTAATAGTTTTTTAGCAGATATGCTAGGATCCTATGGTGTTTCAGAACAGGTATTTTGGGAAAAGTAAGTGAAATCAGATTAGTCTGATTAATCTGTAATCAGATTACAAAAGAGAGAAACTGGAGCAGAAAAAGAGCAATACAGATCTGAAATCTATATATCAAGAGGAAAATGAGGAAAGTCACCCAAACACTGTTAGGGAAATAGAAAGGGGGGTTACTGTGTTTGCAAAGGTACAATGGAATATTCTCTATCAAGGGGAAATACAAAGGTGACAGAAAAGGATGCATAAAATGAAGCCTGCATGTTGAGCTTTCATGATTGGGAAAGATGGCTCTGCCATTACTGAGGTTACTAGTAACTGATAAGACAAGGCATTGAAACAGCCATCCAAATATGTATTGAAGTAGCCAAGAATTGAAGCAAGAGTAATATTGGAAAAAGTGGCTGATCCAGAAGGTGTTTGTGCAAAAATCAGAGGAATGATACCAGAGTTCTACAGACAATAAAGAAAATGAAGATTCATTGGTTATAAAAGTTTATGAGATGAAATTCTAGGTTGGAGATTTTAGGTAGGAAGGAAACCACATGGAGTAAAGAGCAAGGAGGATGCCCACTCACAGCTCCAGTGGGAGAAGGGATGTTAGAGAGAAAACAAACAAAAAACTACTTGAGAGATCCACAAGGAAATTGTGTCCTCCAGGTGTTAGGCAAAAGATCAAAAACATGCAAATTAAAGCAATTTGCAGTGATAGTTCATATCCTCTCATGGAGCAAACATTATGATGTGCAGGCCATCTGATGCTAGTTTCTTTGAAACTGGTTCACCCATTCTTCTTTATAGCATGCTAAATTGGTAGAGCCTTTTAAAATGTCAGCGTGGAGAGAACAATAAAGGACATACTATTTATACTGTTGACACTAGTAATTCCATTGAGGATGTTGTCCCAAGTACTTTATTCAAACATATTGTTTTAAGTGTATATGTATGCACACTCTTAGCCCTTTTTTATTCTCTGTATTGTGGCAAATATAAGAAATGTCCCAAGTCTAGCTGATAGAATGCATGCAACTCTCATATAGCCATTGCAGTGACAGTCAAGAGGATTAAACTGTGTCTACTATGAAAGTGGTTATTGTAGGTTAAATAAATATAGAAGAATATAAAATAGCCAGTACAATAAATATGGAGTTATGTAAGTATTTGAGAGTCATATTTGTGTATCATGTCTGTGTTGGAGCCAGACTCTTTGCTTAGAGCACCACCTTGCCATCTAGTAGCTGTGTGACTTACGCTAAATCATTCAACTTCATTGGGTGCCTCAGTTTCTCCATCTATATAATGATAACAATATATGTGAGTAATACTGATGTAGATGAATTATAATATAGATGAATAACATTGATGAGTAAATGAGTTCTACATGGATGATGCTCAACAATACCTCATGTTGTCTGTAGCATAAAATACTGGCTATAGTAAGCCAAATGATTATGTTTGTGTTGAGACGACAGGAATATGGATGATAGATTATTATGAACTTTATATTTCTCCAAAACTGTTATTGTCTTTTCAAGGAAAAAAATAGCAAAAACAGTTCTCAGAAAAACTGAGCTGCTTTCAACTGTATTTATATTTTGGTTGTTCTTTCTGTGAAACCTGAGTTTGTCACATGTTATTTACTTATTTATTTGTCAGTGTAGAATTTATCACCAATGTAAAGTAGTATCAGGTGAAAAGAACAATGACTTAGGGGAGAATGTTACCTTTGCTTCTTTAATTAATAGGCAGTAGTTGAGTTTGCCTTGACCTTTGCTTTCTGCAGGAAAGAATAAAAGGGCATGTGAGGTGCCTTTTTCAAACAGAATCGCTGAGAGCGTCGAGCCTGTAATTAGAGAACACAAATTGGATTTGGTCTTTTCCTAGACACTTGCTTCTGAATCGTTTGCAACTTTGCCTCCAGACCGAAACTAAGCAATCAAAACTAAATATTATGAAGACAGGCTTTATTAATTTTGTTTCTAAAGAAGTGGCATGAATTCAGTTTTTCATAAACTGCTGAACATGTGGCATATTATATGCAAGTTAGTGTTTAGTGAAGTATGAAAAAGTACATGGGCCAGTCTCCTTGGGGATGAAAAGAGAAAGCACAAAATTAACCTCCTGTCGGACTCTCACTCTATCTCAGCATCTAAAATAAAGGCTCTTGTTGTGTCCCATATCCTACCCACACCTATTTATAGTCCAGCACATTAAATATTTTATAGGGTTCTATTACTGTTATTATTCTATGTTAGTTTTGAGAAATCTTTGTAACAAATGGAAAAGTGTATGTTTTGGGAGTTATACAGCTGCAAATTTTTCCTCAAAAGTGTTTTATAGTTATAGAGAGGGTATGGCCAAAAAAAGTTTACAGTTATGAATACATGAAACAGAATTTTTCTTATATTATTATTATATATTAATTATTGTATTACTTTCCATGTGAGAAACTATTAACCTACTATTGCCCCACCCTGTATCTACTCAGTATTGGCTTGTGATCGCTGTCGATATACAGAACAGGCAAAAGTGAAACTATCCACAAACATTAGATATAATAGCTAGCCTTGCTTTTCTAACATGTATTTATATTTGACTGCATGTAATACTATAACCTACAGCTCTAACTCTTTTGCAGAAATTATTTTATTGGGAAAACATGTAAACTAATTTTTATAAAGTTTGATATAGTTTAAATAAAATGCTAGAGGTATATTGCTTTCACCCATTATCTGAATATTACTTTTAATGAACCCATGGCTTATAACTCAACAGAAATCCCTATTGCCTTTAAGTCCTTAGTTTAAAAATCAGACTTGTATTAATATACATAATGCGTGCTCTACTTACCGCACTAGGTTCAGTCAGGCATTTCTCCCAAGATGCACCTGCTCCGGAAGTCCTCAGTAGACTTTTCCTATCCCACCTAAACTCATCACAAGACTACTGCCTTTGAGGGCCATCTGAGCGCAAAGATCTGGTGCTTACTCCCCCCTCAAGCTGCTGTGATTAGTTTGTGTCCTTTATTTAGATTATAAATGACTCAGGATTCTGGTGGGGGATATAGGCAAAGTATGGAGGAAACAGAATGGTTCAGAGTGGTTATTCAAATTCCAAAAGGTTTTTTTTCTTCCCTGGGGTCATTTGATGTCTCATCAATGAAATGAACAAACCAGACCGGTATATGTCTTACAGGCCTATAGAATCACTAAGGGTACCAAAGACAGACACATACTCATGTTTCCCAGAGTCCCTTAATGCAAACGTTTATAGCTGAGAATATTTATTTAGCAATGTAGAATTATACTTTATATTGGTTTAAAGTTAGCCATTTTCACTTATCCATGATTTTTTGAAGGATTTTATTTTTTCATTTTTAGAGAAAGGGGAAGGGAAGGAGAAAGAGAGGGAGAGAAACATTAATGTGTGGTTGCCTCTTGCCCACAACCAGGCATGCGCCCTGACTGGGAATAGAACCAGCGACTCTTTTGGTTCGCAGGCTGGCACTCAATCCACTGAGCCACACCAGCTAGGGCACTTACCCATGACTTTATAAATATATTGGAAATTATATACAGTAATA